CGGGCCTAACTTCTTTTTATGTTTTTTTGTTTTACGGGCCTGTCTTTTTTTCTTTATTTTTATTTTTTTAATTGTTTTTGCCTATTCTTCTCTCTCTCTTTCACACTGCTCTCTCTCTCAACAAACCCAAAAAAATCTTCTCTGCAAAAACCGATCTCCGCAATACCCAAAGATGCCGTTGTTGAGCATTCCCTTGCTCGCCGGATGATAGCTCTGTTCGCGGCTGTGATCGGCGGCCGCCGCTCCTTTCACCGCTGAGCACTCCCTTGCTCACCAGTTGCCGATTGCACCGGCCGAGCTCGCCGCCGAGTCATCCATGGCTGAGCTCTCCACAGCCGAGCCCATCTTTATTCTATTGATGGTTGGTTTTGGGTATGGGTTCGTGTAAGTTCATCTTCCCCTTCTTCTTATTTGCAAACCCAAAAGCACTCTCTCTCTACTCTGTTGGGATTTATATGCCCTGGCATAGCAAATTCCCATTTGGATTAAAGTGACATAAGTTCCTGACGTTTCTGAAATATTTATGCTTTATACAATTGGTGAATTCAATGTATTATGTTTCGATTCATTATAGAATTGATAGTGTCCACTTGATTACAAGAGATATTTATATATGTATGTGATGGCGATCAATATATGAATATAAATAGTAATCATAAATGGTTTATAGTCGGTAATTATGGATGGACTCATAATTAATTAAGACTTGAACTGAATCCGCGTTAGGTTGAGATATATTGCGAGAGCCGTCGTATGCAATTGCTCCCTATCACCGTCATGGCATTTGACTCTTAAGCATGAGTATAGACTCTTTTATTAATTAATAATTACTTTGATTTGTTCGGCGGATTCTTCGGGATCCTTAGACCGACACTTTGGGTAGTTATGTAATTAATAGTTAGAGGGTTATATTTTCAATATTTGCATCATTGCTACTTGTATTTATTTTGTATTGATTATGGTTGATCACAAAGTAAATTCGAAGGCTTTCGTATGTTTTTAGACAAAATGATTTATTATATATTTATTTATTTAAAATATTATTTTTGTCAAACAAATATTTTATTGTGATCGAGCCAGAAATAATCAATGGTACCAAAATAAATATATTAATTAAGTAGTCGGATTGATGGTTTTATTTATCCGATAACTAATTATGCATAGAGGGGTCAAAGTGCGATATTGACTTAGTGGTTATTTATTATTTAATTGGAGTTCAATTAATTTCTTTTAGTGGAGTATGAATTAATTTATGAATTAATTGAATTGGGTCCATGAACCAGGCAAATTATTAATTCATTGTAGCTAATAAAATAATAGGCCCAATGGATTCTCACTCATAGCCCAACTTGATATTGGAATCATATTAGATTTGAGACATGTGATTTTTAGGAAAAGAAAAGGAATATATTTTCTCTTTCTAGAAAATTAGGGTTTATGTTCTCATCTAATGGAGACTCCCACAAGTGTAGTTTTCCAAGGTCATTCATGGAGACATATGAGTGATTCCTAAAGGCAAAACAATTACCAAGAAGATGGAGATTCAAGGAGAAGGCATCTTGCTAAGGGATCTACAATAAGTGAGAACATTCACTTTAGAGGAAAGTTTTAAAGGTTTACTCAGACCTTTGATGTAAGTATTCAATCTGTTAATTGAATGATACATCATATTTTATTTTTGCATAAAACTTGTTCCTATGTGATGAATCAAGATCTATGAATCAAAATCCTTCGAAAAGTTTTTAAAATTAGCACGTTTCCCAACATACTCATCTATGCCCAGCTGTGCCGACGAGCAAGGATGGCTGAACGGCGGTGATTAATCAGCTGTGAGCTTCTTGGTGGTGAGTTCGGTGAAGAGATGGGTTGGCGCAGCGGTGACTCAGCCGTGGATGGTGCGGACGGTGGAATGGATCGGCGAGCAAGGTGGTGACGGCGATGGGCTGGCGGGTTTGGGTGGTGAGGGGTGATTGGGTGAAGATGATGGTGCTTCAAATTTTTGTTTGTCAATAACCTCAGACCAATCAATCGATTTTTTTGAAAATTGGATGCAGTTACTCATTCATGATCTGGCATACACATAATATCTGGAGTTTCGTTTTGTATATTATATGGATGGTCCGGTTCGTGGGCACAAATCCACTATTGTGCAATTTTAATGTTGTCCCCCACAATGAGCGTTAAGTGAACTTAATTTGGTCACTTTTTATTCCCCTTAATATACATTAAAATTGTATTTGGCAATTACGCAATCATATATTAATAATATTTCACCACCATTTATAAGTATCTTTACCTTCAAAATAAGGTATGTACATAATACAAACTAAGTAAGATCACATACAAACGTAACTCAATTTACCACCATTTATAAGTAACATTTCACCACCATTTATAAGTATCTTTACCCTCAAAATAAGGTATGCACATACTGTAGACTAAGTAATGTCACATACAAACGTAACTCAATTCAATATAACATATCATTTATGTTATAATTTGAAATTAAAGTACTTTAAAAACACCTTAACATGTTAATTTAAAGAATTTAAACCAAAATTAAAATCACTTGGATTAACTTTAGATAACAAACAAAACACTCGTTGTTTCCAAAAATAACGAAAAGTGCCACATTTTTTTTTTTCCTTTAAAATATTATAAAAAACATGCACTTAGTTTTAAATTATTTAACATACCTTTTAATTTTTTTTTTTTGGCAAAGTTTAATATTAATTGTCACTTATGTTACATTCACCATCAAATGAAAAAATTTGGCAAAGTTTAATATTAATTGTCACACTCACCACTTTCACTATCAATAAAAGGTATTCACATAGTGCTGAAAAACTAATAGTCACATGTAAATCTACCTTAATTCAACATATTATTTATATATTTTTTAAGTTAAATTTTATAATAAAAATAGAACATCCAAAAAAATAATCACATGTTAATTTAAAGAGAATTTTGAAGGGGATTATGAGGTTGTCAACAACCTTTACTTTTTAAGTAGTGATGTTACCCTATTACAAATGGTGATGTTGCTTTTTGGACTCTTGTGATATTACTTTTAGATTTTTGTGATGTTACTTATAAATGATGGTAAAATGTTATTTACAAATAGTAGTGTACCAAACACAGTCTTAGTGTCTATTAAGTAGAGTAAAACGTGGCCAAACCAAGACCACTTAACGTTCATAGCAGGAGACAACATAAAAATCACACAGCAGAGGATTTGTGCCCCCAGTCCGCAAGCGAAATCCTGTTTTCCGAAAACAAACATTAGAAAGAGGAGACCGAATCGACATTGAGAGAAAGAATGGACAAAGAAACAGAAAAAATAATAATAAAATAAATCCAAAGGAGTAAGTCCCAGCAAACAAAAAATAAAAACTAATAAAAGTCTATTAGCTACTGACAAGTCCCACCATTGATAGAATAGTTGCCTAAAGCTGTAGCTAGCGAACCTTATTTATCAAAACTAGAGAGGCACAATTCCAGACTCAGGACCATCAAAGTCATATCTTTTTTTTTTTTTTGTAAACCTAGCCCCCACATTTCCATTAATTTTGTACTTTCTGGATTTTAAAATAAGATATCCCATATTTTCTCCCATATTTTGTAGCCAATGGTAAGGTTTGGGGCGCCTCTCTTAATGGTCGTTTTTTTGTCAAAAAGTGCTTACCATATTGCTTGCTCTCTCTTCCATAAATTGCCCTCCTCTCTTTCGAAGACAAGTTCCAGTTTTGATGCCGTTTCTGATTTGATGTGGCAAAACGTGTGGAAAATTAAGGCCCATCGGAAAATCATTCTCTTCTCTGGCAAAACATGCATGACAGAATTCCAGTCCAGTCCTAACTTGGGATTCGTGGGGTTCCTTCTTCTCCGGATTGTGTTGACACCTATTTTGGTAATTGGGTTTGGGCCGTGAAAACGTTGGGCTGAAGATATACAGTATTGAATTTGGACTAAGCAATGGACTTGAGTTATAACTTGGATTGCAATTAGGCTGAAGAATACGACAAGTGGGCTGAGAATATAGTGTCATGGTAAGGGTTTGGATGCTGAGAAGAAATTCGGCTTGGTATATAGGCCGATTGTATGGTTGGGCTTTTGGTTGAAGGAAACGTTATGCAGACCCACATGAGATATAAATGGCATGCAAAGATATATTTTGAATTTAAATGATGGATATGGATTGTAATGTTAGTTTTTATCTTTTAGTTAAGTGCATTTAAGGATTAAGGTTATCAGTAATTTAGTTTGTTTTAAATTGATAGTTAGTTGGTTTATCAATAGATTTAGATTTTATTTGAAATTAGTTATTTGATGAAGTTTGATGTATTTAGAATGCTTATGTATAGGATTGGTTTACGAATTATTCTATAAATAAACACAGAGGTATGTTGTGATAGAGGTCCAACACCCTTAGAATCTTTATATTATTTTGTTTGCTTTTTCAAACCTTTCCTAGAATAGCATCCTTGCTATTTTTTACCATTATCTATCTCTCTCAACATCTTGTTCTATCTTTCTCCCTCTTTCAATCTTTCTCTCTCTATTCTTTCTATATCTATTTCTCCCCTTTTCTATTCTCTCAATTGTTACTATAAACTATTCATTGTAAAGTCCTTTTAATTAAGGCAATTCTTGAACTCAAAGAGGAGTTTTACTGTTCCTTTTTTTCTCACATCATCTGAAAGTCAACCTTCTCAAGGGGACTAAAGTTGACTATTTTCACTTGGACCATATATTTGGTTCTGGCACGACCGTTTTTACATCAATTTAACATCAGCTCTAGTCGGCCGATTTTAGCGTTAACATTCTTGGCACGCTCGGTGGGACCCCACTAGGTGAATAATTTATTTACAACAAAGATGCCTCCCAAGAGGAATTCAAAGAATACTAATTCAAATGAGGAAGAAGAAGAGGAAGTCCAGCCAACTGGATAAGCCGGATCCCATATAGTAGGAGCTTCTTTCCCATCAGATGTTACATTCATGCAAATCTTGGAATCCATTCGGCAGGGACTGGAAAACCAGGAGGCCCATTTGGGGGCTTGCATAGATAGGATGGTTCTAGCGGTGAATACTCACATTGAAGGGATGGATAGGAAAATGGATGCAGTATCAAATCAATTATCAGTTGTTCAAAGTCGATCTGATCAGGCCAAGGCTTCAAATGTGCATGAGTCATTGGTTCACCACATTTCTTCCTCAAAAGTGATTATTCCATAAGAATTAAGGGCAACAATAATAGGAGTTATGCTACCAAATCCAACTCTCGGAATGCCAATCAGCATGATGCCAAATCTAACTCTCGGCATGCTAATTGGGAATCCAGCAATTTTGTCAAACCCACCTACAATAACTGTTTTGTCGGTATATCAGCCACCAGTGAGTAATCAGTATAATCAAAATATGCAGCGTCCACAAACGCAGCCGATTCCACTAGCGAGAAAGTAGCAAGAAGTGGTGGGAAACCTGAACCAAGGAAGGGCTAATCTATTGATACCCCCGGCGGCTGCTGGTGAGTAAGTGATCTCATATCCACAATGAGAGTGGGTTAATCCATTCATTCCGCGGCACCTAAATGATCCTCTAGGAAGAAATGCAGGGATTGATAAGGCTTAGATTCTGGCTTTAATACAGGCTGAAGTGGCACAGGGTCGCAGACGTGCTCGGCCAGTATATAGAATGCCTTATCCTGATCATGTTGATGCCCATGAATTGCCTAGAAATTATCGGTATCCCGATTTTTCAATGTACTACGGAGAAGAGAATTTTTTTACAGTGCAACACATTGCGAGGTTCACAGCACAATGTGGTGAAGCAGGTCCTAATCCTTGGTTGAGAATGAGGTTATTCTCTTGCTTTCTTGCTGGGGCGGCGTTTGAATGGTATAGTACTTTACTAGCAAACAATATCCAGACATGGGATGAAATGGAAGAAGCTTTTCATACTCAATTCTACCAAATAGAGACAGAAGCCACACTGGCAGACATATCTCGATTATCTCAGTTGTCAAGTGAATCGGTTGAAACTTTTGTTGCCATGTTCAAAAAAGCTAAACTCAAATGTCGAGTAAGTTTGCCAGAACCAGAATATATCAAGTTAGCATTAAATGGTTTAGACATTAAACATCGCAAGAGGTTTGACAGAGTGGAGTTTCAAGATCTCTTCGATTTAGCAGACAGGGCTTCTCTGTATGAGGAGATACTTAAGGAAAAGAAAGAGGGGAAGAATTCTTCTAAGGGTACATATTATAAGGACCCTAATTATAAGGTATTTTCGGTAAAAGTTGGAGATGAATTTGAAGTTAACGTTGCAGAGGTCAATATCAAGAAGCCATACATTTGTGAGGCATTGGTTAAGCCTAAGCCGCCCACGGGGGACAACGCAACTTCAGCATCAACATCAGCAGCAAGGAAAGGAGTTGCCGATATTGGGAAAAACTATTCTTTTGATTTATCAAAAACAGATAAATCTTTGACCACTTGATGGCCGATAAGATGATATCTTTGCCTAAGGGGCATAAGATTCCATCAGCAAGCGACTTGAAAGGAAGAAAGTATTGTAAGTATCATAACTCTTGGAACCATGCTACTAATGATTGTACGGTTCTGCAAGGTGTATTACAGAAAGCTACTGATGAAGGTACTCTAAAATTCCCGGAGAAAACTTCAGACACCATGCAAGTGGATACCAATCCATTCCCTATAATCACATCCACTAATGTGATAAGTTTGGCCAAATGAGAAAATCGGCATGAGGCTAAGAAGGGTGAGGTCCTGTCATCAAATGCAACACTTGAAAAAATGGAAGAATTGTAGAAACAATTAAGGGAGGCTCAATTGGCCTTGATCGACCATGGTTGTTGCCTAAATTGCATGGGAAGGCAGAAATTAGAGGAAGAAGAGACAGTTGAGGTTCAGCCGAAGAAGAAAGGAATTCTTGAGAAGCTTAATTTCCTAATTAAACCTGGGGAAGAGCCTTGGCAAGATGATCCCAACCGTGGTGATTCGAAGGTAGAATCAGCAAGAATACATATCTAGCCGATTTCATTACCAAATTCGACATCCTAGTTTTAAAAAGCGCTCACCAGTCTAATCAGAAATTTGGGTGCAAAAAGGAGCCGATTCATATAAAGTGCGAACTGTGAAACCAAGGATAGACTCAGCAGAAGACAGATGGACTAGAGTCAATCACCCAAAATTCCCTAAGGTTCAAATAAATCAGAATAGAAGCCTTACTCGATCTCAGAAACACAGGGAACAGAGGAGAAGGGCAAAGGGAAAAAGGAAAGCTGAAGAGGTAAGGAAAGAAAAATCAGCCGAGGAAGTCAATATTCTAGATAAAGATTAGCTGGATGAGGAAGAGGAACATCAGCTGACATGGCCCAGACGCAAAAATGAGTTCAGAATTCAGTTTGGCAGCTTCCTAGACAAAATGTCATGTAACATGGCGTTTGTATTACCAGAAATGTTCCAGGCTCCATCGGTATCAAATGCAAATACTGGAAATAAAGCAAAGAAGAAAGAAACTTAGTCGATTCAGAATTTATCAATTTTTTCTTCAGAATCAGTAGAGAAAGTAGTTTTTGAAAAACCTTTGTTAGCAATGACTCAACAACTTAGGCCTTTGTATGTTAAGGTATGGGTAGAAGGTCAGCCTATTAATCGAGTCTTGGTAGACAATGGCTGAGTTCTGAATGTTATTCCAGCTAACACGTTGAAAAAACTCGGAAAGAGTACGGAAGATGTGATTCCTACTGATGTAGCCATTTGTGGGTTCAACGGAGGCTCTACTAGCACTAAAGGGATTCTTCCCTTAGAAGTCGAAGTTAGAGGAAGGACATCTTTTACGACATTCTTTATTATTGAATCCACGACTTCCTATAATTTGTTATTGAGATGTGACTGGATTCATCCAAATATGTGCATCCCATCATCATTACACCAGATGCTGATTTTTTGGGATGGAGATAAGGTGAAAATAGTGAATGCCGACGATAAGCCATTTGTTGCAAAAGTATACTCGGCAGATGCTATTTTGTATGACGAAGAATGTGTTCCTATTCGATTTGTGGGAACAAGAACCGATGGAAGACCTACATCGGCAACAATGAAAAGGAATCTTGTAGATCCCGAAATCGGAGAGTTGCAACAGGAAAATTTCAGGCCGAAGGTAGAATTACCTCGGTTGACTATAATTGAAGAAGTTGTCAATGGTAGCGAAACTTGAAAAAGAAGTCGCTCGGCAGCAGGACTTTAGGGCCGTTTGCATTAGGTTACAAGCATACATAGCCAAAAAATGGCTGGAAAAAGAAGCAAAGATAGAACCGCGACCATCGGCTAATTTTACTGAAGTTGATCAAATCGATAATAAAAAGTTGGATGCGATTCAGTTAGAAGATGTGGAATTGGCACCAGCTAAACTTGACGATCTTATAGAAACTCAAGATCCGTTAAAGGAGGTGAATTTAGGTAATGATTCAGAGCCTAAACCAACCTATATCAGTGCACTATTAGAGCTAGAATTACAAGCCGAGGTGATCGGCATGTTAAAAGACTACAGTGATTGTTTTGCTTGGAATTATAAGGAAATACTGGATCTATCCAGAGATCTGGTGGAACATCAATTGCCTATTAAAGATGGCTACAAGCCATATAAACAGCCACTTCGCCGAATGTCTCAAGAGGTGGTAGACAAAGTCAATGTGAAAATTGAACGATTGTTGGGTACCGGTTTCATTCGAACTACAAGGTATGTCGAGTGGTTATCGAATGTAGTTCCTGTTATAAAGAAAAATGGCAAATTACGGGTATGTGTTGATTTTCGAAACATAAACTTGGCAACCCCGAAAGACGATTATCTAATGCCAATAGCCGATCAATTGATTGATGTGGCTGCCAAGCATGAACTCATGTCTTTTATGGATGGACACTCGGGCTATAATCAAATTTACATAGCCGAGGAGGATATCTCAAAGACAGCTTTTAGGTGTCCCGAATCGATTGGAACTTTTGAGTGGATGGTAATGTTTTTTGGTTTAAAGAATGCTGGTGCTACATATCAACGAGCTATGAATTTTATCTTTCATGATATGCTCGGCAAGTTTATAGAGGTGTATATTGATGATGTGGTAGTAAAATCAGTAATAAAAAAGGAACACTTGATTCATCTCAAAGCATCCTTTGAGAGGATGAGGGCTCATAAGTTAAAAATGAATCCAATAAAGTGCGCTTTTGGAGTATCGGCAGGGAACTTTTTGGGTTTTTTGGTTCATCAAAGGGGTATAGAAATCAATAGGAATAAAGCTAAAGCAATTATTGATGCTAGTGCGCCGAGAAGCAAGAAGCAGTTACAGAGGTTACTAGGTCAAGTAAACTACCTCAGGCGATTTATTGCAAACACAGTTGGTAAGTTACATATGTTTTCCCCTTTACTTAAGCTGAAGCTGATGGAAGAATTCAAATGGGATGATACACATCAGAAGGCATTAGACCAGATTAAGAGATACCTGTCAAGTCTTCCTGTCATGATGCCGCTGAGGAAGAAGTGGCCAATGAAGTTATATTTATCAACAACTGAAGAATCCATTGGAACTATGCTGGCACAAGAGAACGAAGCCAGATGTGAATAAGCAATATTTTATCTCAACCAAGTTTTAACTCCAGTCGAGTGTAGATATACTACGATTGAGAAATTATGTTTGGCTTTGTATTTTGCAGCAATGAAATTAAGAGTCTATATGTTGTCTGTTTTGGTTTATATTGTTTGTCAAATAGATCTTATAGAGTATATGCTATCAAGGCCATTAATTACAGGCCGGATTGGCAAATGGGCTCTGGCACTTATTAAATTCAACTTTACATATGTTCCACAAAAGGCGATGAAGGGGAGAGCATTGGCAGATTTCCTAGCCGATCATCCCTCACCTTAAATCGAATCACAAGTGTTTGATGAACCTGACTCGGCAGCCATATTTATGACTCTTTGGACTTTAATGTTTGATAGGTCGAGTACCAATGAAGGCTCAGGAGCTAGTATAGAAATAATATCCCCAATAGGGAACCAAATTTCGTTTTCCTTCTGTTTAAATAATCAAGCCGAGTATGAAGCATTGATTATCGGCTTAGAAATTTTGCTAGAAATGGCAGTTAAAAAAGTCCACATTATGGGGGATTCAAGTTTGGTGATTAATCAAATCTCAGAAGACTTTAGATGCTTGAACTGGCAATTAAGGCCATTTCATTCATTGGCAACCCAATTGGTCAACCAGTTTCATATTATGACTTTGGAATACAGACCAAGGGCTTTGAATAAAATAGCTAATGATTTAGCACAAACTGCTTCAGGAATTAGGGTGCCGAGTGGAATGAAGGAAAGGGTGATGAAAATTACACGCCAATCTCTTCCATCGGCTGAAACAAGAAATCAAGTTATGGAAGAAGTTTTTACCACTGATGTTGCCGAGTTAGATAATGATGATTGACGAATCCCTTGCATTTTGTTCTTACAACATCTCACCTTAGAAACCGATCGAAGAATAAAAAGGAGTGCAGTCGATTATGTACTTATGGATGGAGATATTTATAAAAGAACGGCTGATGATGGCCTACTATTTCAATGTCTTATCAAGTTTGAAGGTTTAAAAATAATGGCAGAGGTGCATGAAGGAATCTGTGGAGCTCACCAAGCTGGCATCAAAATGAGATGGTTAATACGCTGATATGGGTATTATTGGCCTGGAATGAGAAAAGATTGCATGACTTATCCAAAAGGATGTACAGATTGTCAAAAACATGGTCCAATGCAATGGGTTCCAGCTACAGAGATACAGTTACTAGTTAAACCATGGCCTTTTAGAGGATGGGCCACTATGAGATCCAACCACAAACCATTTAAATGCTTCCTAACTATCATGGACTTCTAAGTGAAGAACCTTATAAGCATTTGGATGAGTTTCTTGAAGTATGTTCCACCGTAAGATACACGGACATGCCGCAAGAGGTCTTAAGGCTTAAACTTTTTCCATTCACCCTTAAAGACAAGGCAAAATATTGGTTTAACAATCTTAGGCCTTTTTCAATAACTTCTTGGGCAGAAATGCAACAAAAGTTCTTGAAGAAGTACTATCCAGTTTCTAAGACTAATGCCATGAGAACCTAAATTCGAGAGTTTTCACATAGGGATGGGGAAACATTCCATGAGGCATGGGAAAGATTCAATGAATTGCTTAGGAAGTGTCCATATCATGACATGCCCAAATGGCAATTAGTTCAATATTTCTTTGAGAGTTTACCGGACAATTATAAGGGCATGGTTGATGCTTCCATGGGTGGCTCTTACATTGATAGGCATGAGGATGACATGTGGCATCTTTATGAGAGCATGAGTGAAAATTCCATCGAACTTTATCTTCCAAGAATGGTAGAAATTCAAGTGGAAGGAACAGTGTTGGCTTACATCAAGTCGACCATTCCAATGAAATAGCC